ATGTGCACTGCGTTCCGACAGTAGTGCTAAGCAAACAGTTAAATTTTAAAAGCGCGGTTATAAGATCTAATAGATCTTCTTGTTTTTTTTTAGTTTTGTCGGTGGCCAGACCCAAACTTCCGCTTGGCCAAATTTTGAATCATGCAACCTGTGATGTTTATTCGCCAAAAGCTGTTGAAACATTAATACACAGACAATGTTACGGATTTTGTTTTCTTTATTGTGTGTAAAATATATTTTCTTTTGGTTTTATCAAAGCATTGGATTCGAAGGGAATAATAAATATGCTAAAAAAGGTATTACGTCAGCCATGGAATGCACTGACATTGCATCTTTCACTTTCGCTACATGACAAATAAGATCTTGTTTACTTTGCAAGTTTATTTCGCCAGGAGTGAGTCTTTAGTTTTCCGAGTATTTTTCGTATTTTTAGACAAGAGAAGTGAATTGTTGAGCTCTTTCATTGAAGCTAGTTCAGAGATTAGAAGGAAAATTAAATATTTGCAAGCCAAGCAAAGAACGTGTCAGAATGTGTAACGATTACGTCATTGGTAGGGAAATAACCACCGTACTAAAGATAGCCGTGGATAACGTAATTCTTGAATTATGTGACCAGGGGTTTTATTAGAAGCCGGGACCTGCGTACCGACACCCATCTACTCTGAGTACAGTACCTGCCTTCGCTCAAATGAGATCTCAAGTAGACTGAGACTAGGTTTACACTAAAGGAAATTGTTTGCCGTTTACACAAAAGTGGACGAATCCGAAATAAAAACTCCCTGGTTTAGTCGTGTCTCTGGAGATTTTGAATCCAGAATCTAAAATATGGCTGCCATTGTGCTTACATCTATAAAAATTCTGACATATGAAAATCCTGACAATGGCACTTAAAAAGCAACTACAGAATGTGGTGTTTCTTTTAAACAAGTATTACCTAAAATCATTTTATTGTGCAACCTTTTAGACTAGTTTTAGATTGCTATAGGTCTGTGGAGCCAATTTAATTTACAAGAAAGTAAATTTTTAGACTATGGAGAAAGAAACTAAAACAAGTTAAGACGTATAAAAATTAAATAAGTAACAGAAAGAGAGATTCTAAAGCCTACCAAAGCTTTGTCAGTGAGAGCTTCTATATTGGTTTTTGGTTTTGGATGAAATTTATTGCGGTTTTGGACCATTTTTTGCACAATTTTTGGTTTTTAATAGGCCCCTATGCCCCCTCCTATGCATGACAGATCTTTCACAAACTCATTAATGATTCATCAATTTAGAACAAAGAAAATCACAACTGTGAAGGAGGTTTGCATACCCAGTCTTAATTAGCATAGATTTTGACGATTTTACTTCTCCGTCTACTCCTTAGTTTTTGTTTTGATTGAGAAGATATATCACACAAAAGAGACAGTGTTTCATCGGCTATCCAAATACCTCGAATTTTGTCAAAAATACATGTACTCCGCTGCACGTCATATTTTCAACTCTCTTCTCGGTGTTTGGATATCCCAATGAAACATTGTATCTTGTATTTGATATATTACATTTACAATCCCAAATTTCATGCATTTGTTCACTAAAATGTGCAATAATTTTTTTGCCACAGTTCAGACTTAAACTGTAGTCACTAAATGCATG